TGCTTAAAAAATAGGTATACAACTAGTACTTTTTTTAAGGGGAGAAAATCATCGAATGACTTCTCCCGCCTGGGTGAGGCGTGAGGGAATGTCAGACACTTATTGACTAAAAACCACCCCGTTCCTACTCCTGCACTTTGAGCCAGAGCCCCGGTAACCTTTTACGTTCTCCACGGCTCTGTATCGGCATCAGCCCTCTAGGGGCCCGATCCGCGGTGGTCTGGTGGCTTTCTGAGGCGCGCGCGGAAGAGAACTGGTACTAAGGTAGTAATTAACTACCTACCAAACAAAACCACCACCTTCTAGAATGTCCAAAAATATCAATAAACGCTCTAAAAAAAAATTGGCCGACCTATAAATCAAGTGCGTGCCGTAAAAACGCCATAACAAGTCCGCATCGTCATAAATATCGTAATATATTGTTATGACAAGGATGCTTGACTCGATAGGTAGCTACGTGCTTGCCACGCAAAAATATAACAGCGTAATGTCACGCTTAAGTTCCAAAATGTGCTAGGCAGAAGCGTTTTTACCAAATAATGTACTACTTTGTTAGAGGGGTCGTAAGTGTCGTTAAAAACAATAATCGGTCCCTGGTTGAATTTTCGGAAGCTTGTATAAAATTATCTTCAATAGTTCGTTGTAGACAAGCCTGTAGTTTCCTATTCTCGGATTGACTGCAATTGAAAAGAGATTTCCGAATTGGGTTCGGTATTTGAAATCAAAAGATTTTGACGAATGTTGGAGCCAAACAGACATTTTTATTTTGATTGATCTTTTTACCAGAAATAAGTTCTTGGCGTTAACTTTTACCCAACACTGAAACGTGGGACACTGAAATGCATCATACCTCTACGAGGGCGATCACTTTTAATTAGTCAAACATTAAACCGGTGAGCCGAGGATCTCGTGAAAAAGTAATGAATCGTGTCGGATAACAGGACGACCTCTGACCGCCTTGTTGGTGAATATTTTCGTTGGCTGCGGACTTAATTAAATGCGGCTGTCCATTTTTATTATAATGAAACAGACATGATAACAATTCGGCAGTTTTGTTACACAAAAGTTAGAGAACATTCATACTTTTTTTAACATAACCGCATATGGGTTTTTCAAGTGTAATTTATTTGTGAATGTCCCCAATCCCCATTAACAAACATATCTACATTATTGTCACGTAAACATCACGCCCTTACCTAAAACAACAATTTGTGGACGGCACAACGAATTGTTCCGTCCGAATATCGCCCGGTACGTATCGGTCGCCTGTCGCGGAGAACCTTACGGGTAACCGGGGCTCCAACTCGACGTGCAGGAGAAGGAACGGGGTGGTTTTTACTCAGTAAGAGTCTGACACTCCCTCCCGCCTCACCCAGGTGGGAGCAGTCATTCGATGATTTTCCCCCATTAAAAAAAAAAAGAAGTATCGGTCGCCTAACCATTACGCCAACCGTACAATGAACCCAATATGAAATTACCTATCGTGTTACAGGTCCTTTAACACATCACACGTAAAATACAGTACAAAATAAGGTCAACAACCAGTTTACAACTATATCAACACGACATGATTAGCATTCTATAGCAGTAGCTCATTAAAAGGAACGGGGTCACGTTACATTTGTACCTGCCCTGTTTACCCCACAACACGCGTGACAATGCACAATAACCACGATTTACGAACAAACCTAGGTATAATATTATTAATTGAGACGAGGTCGAACTATACGCGGTTTTATAGTGCGAACTGATGGCGGCTGATGCTAAGGACTCCACGTCGCCAATAGATACCCGCAACTAGGGGAGCCTTAAGTGCATTGTCAGTCTTTTAAGGTTTTGGGTATAGGAAATAGGGGGACGATGCCGTCGTCTGAGTGACATAGAACCAATGAGGCTAGTGAGGTTCTCAGAAGGCCCAAAAGCCCACAACGCACTGATAACACCTCAGCTATTACAGTTGTCCATGGATAGTACTGATTGCTTCCAATAATGTGTAATCCGTCTACTTATTTACCACCTAATCCTAAAAAAGTCTTTCATACTGCGAACTCGAAATACCTGACCGAATACCTAGTCACCTTTATCTGCAGTTTCTGGATGAAATCACCACAAACATCGTACTTACAATAACAAAAAAAACAGCGATGTGGGTGGTCCTACTATCTTTAGACCATTTTATCCATAAAAGTCGTGCCGCTCGCACTGCCACCTAGCGGCTTCAATAACAAAGTGTCACGGACCGGCGCCGTCCGCGATGTTTCCGGCACGACACGTCACGACATGAGTGCGAGCCGGACACGCGACGCGCGACGTTCCATTTTGTATTGAACATGTTACAATTGAATGGGAACGTGTTGAAGAATAATACATCTATAATTGATAGTATTACTTATAGTTATAATGCTTTGTTCTTCTTTTCTATGGAATAAGATGCAAACGACCATACGGATAAGATGATGGTAAGCGATCATGGACCGCCATGGAGACCCGCAGCACCAGAGGAGTCACAGATACGTTGCCGACCATTTAAAGATAAGGTTGGTAGGTAATCATTTCTGAAAAATCATCCGATTACTATTTTGTGTCCATTTCATTGGCGTGCTCAGCGTTCATGGTGTTACCGTCGCGTTCTTCCAAACACGTAAACCGTCTTAGGTCGAGTTTGTTTTAGGTTTAACAGCTTCGAAACGAGAACGCGTTCGGTTCGATTGGCCGGCTCCAATAAATCAACCAATCAGAGCGGACCCTCTCTCATTAAACGAAAACTGTTCGCTTCTCACGTAGCTTTCTGCCTCGCACTGCAAAACTGAAATGATCTGTCGTCGGCGGTATTTCCGAACCGATACGACTTTCAAACCTTCAAGAAAAGAGCGTATTCCATTTTACAGCTAGCAACGCACCTGTGGCTCCTCTGGTGTTGCGGATGTCCATGGGCGCCGCTGATCGCTTACCATCAGGTGACCTGTCTGCTCGTTTGCCTCCTATTCCATAAAAAAAAAATATATTCGTAGTACTAAGCCCCACAGAACATACCTCTATAAAGAAGGTTTATCTATAGGTGCTATTCCAGTTCTTGTTCACGAAGTTCAAAGCAAAAACTGTTGGATTGCCAACGTAACTTCTTATACTTAAAGGGGTAGGTAAACAAAATTTACTGCTAACAAACTGAATAATACTAATTGACTAAAACTTAAATAGTAACTCAAACTAATAATGAAACATACATTGAATTTATTTGATTGATTTTTATTTTAAACTAAACATAGATAGGTTGATATATTATAAAGAAACTTTCAGATTCTTCGATAAGAGGTAGCAGTATCAAACCACTTCAATTTCCGCTGAGAAGAAATGGCTCAGTCCTTCCACGAGTCGGAAGAATGTCCTGTGTTATTACAATTTGAATGTTAAAATAAAATACTAAGGGTAATAGTAAGGATCATGGTGGCCCGGAGGTTCAAGACCCCCGCTTCTCATGCATGAGGGTGCGGGTTCGAAACCTACCAACGGCAAGTACCAATGTGACATTTTCCGAGTTATACGTACTTTCTAAGATTATCTAGACACTACTGATAAACGGTGAAAAAAACATCGTAAGGAAACCTGGGCTTATCATTTCTAATTATAAGTTTGAAATTGCCAACCCGCATTGAGCAAGCGTGGTGATGAATGCTCAAACCTTTTCTGTGCGAAAAGAAACCTTTGGTCAGCAGTGGCTACTCATAGGATGTTGATGATGATGATGTTAAAAAAAATAAAAAGGCAAGCTATCGTTCAGAGAAATAAGTTAACATAAAATGACTCGGGTTTTTTATGTGATGGCTTGACGTTTGATCACTATCTCTGTGATAAGCGATGATGCGGTCTACGATGGAGCACGTCGTCCCATAAGCAACATTCACTCAGGTCTTGAAGACACACCACAGACTCAGGCAAAGAATTCCAATCCTACCAATTAGGATTAGTTTTTATTGGATTGGCAGTTCGCACAAAGAAGCTTGAAGCGAAGCGCTTAGTGCGAAGCGGTTAGTGCGAATTTTTTATGGAATAGAACTGCAAACGTGCAGACGGAACACCTGATAGTAATAGTAAGCAATCAGCGCTATCCATGGAGAGGAAACTCAACAACACACGATACAAGCTCAATTGTAATTGGCCGTTGTCCAATAAACTAAAAAAAACATTAGAGGGGTTACAAGTCCTTTGGTGCATTTTGTGGTATGGAATTGGGGGTTAAGGATATGGGAAGGAGTATTGGGCCTCCGGTAACGTCACTCACACGAGGAAACACAAAGCAAGTGCTGTATCACGCCAGATTACTTTGAGGATAAATTAACAGGCTTTAAATATGTTCGCAAATAGGTTTAAGCTAGGACGTTAAATAAAAGGCGGACATAGTCTCTTGAAACAACGACTGTGGCACCTGGCTACTATAGACTTACACGCAGAACATATACACATTGACACGAAGCTCATCTGTCAATATCGTAAGTCTAGTAACGTGGTAACCCATTACACACGCACACAGAAATAACCCACTGACATTTCAGTGCTTCAATCATTTCTAAGTGACATTATGTCCGTCTATTTTTCAACAATTTTGGATAAGTACCTGTAAGAAATGATACCAACTTTGTCAAACCATCTGGATGTACAAAAGAAGAAGGTATATTTGATACAAAAACAAGTGGAAGCACAGATCTTTTCATACAATATCATGAACATAATTATGTATATACATAAATATAATATAAGTATCTATACCTAATCTTAGTTAAACTATGCGATAACACAACGGTTTTGCTTATACTTAGAATAATAATTACTCCATATAAATAATATATATTAAAATAACATAACATCACGCCTTTTATTCCCAAAGGGGTAGGCAGAGGTGCACATTATGCCACTGTACAATGAACACTCACTTTTCACTATTTATGTTATGAGTCCCATGTAATAGGGGGTGAGCCTATTGCCATATACCGGGCACTATTCCGGACTCCGTGCTACTACTGAGATTTTTTTAAAACCCAGTAATACTTTATAGTAATATATATTAAATATTTGGGGTTAAAACTACAGCAAGAAGTACGAACGCCTGATAACATTCGATGAGCAAATCTCTGTGGAGTTAAACTTCCTAGCAATCTTTATCAGGCGCAGAAATTTTTGTAAAATAAACAAATGTAGATTATATAAATAAACATATTCTACATAATGCCCGCTTCGGTTGCGTTATTTTTTATCCCATTATAATTGATATTATTGCCAAAAAATATCACAAATTAAAACCAGATACATTTCAAAGTATCTGTTTGCCAAAATTCATAAAAAACTGGACAATATTTGGGGCATGGCATGTAACGTTTGCTTTTATAACACTAGAAAGTACATACTTACCAAACTAATTAAATATTAAGTGCTAATATTACCTTAGTATAAGAATTTATACTTATTTCTAATCTATTAAGCAGTCGAAATAACAATTAACTACTGTTATCACAAATAACAATCAGATAACAATAATTTTAGCGGTCTAAAATTTAACAAATAATTTAAACAACTAGGTACTTTATTTTCCAAAGTTTAAAAGTATTCCTAAATAAACTTACAACAACGTAACTTGTCATTAAAAACTTTGGTCTAAAAATTATAATGGTGTATTGTAATTTCGATTCATTTGAGACTTACACTAATTAAAGAAATAATAAGTTAAAAAACATCGTTCAAAATGCTTAATAATAACTATGTATATGCATACAATCCCTATAATAAACATTTTTCACCACATTCCACGCTTTTCCTTCCAGAATTCCCGATTCCAGACCACTACTACACAAATCACTACTTTCTAATTCTAATTTACCCAAAGAACCACTTTCCAATTCTACTTCGGTATTTCCAGATTCCAGAAGCACTTTGTCGGAAATTCCAACTTCCAGAAGCACTTCGCTGGAAATTCCAGATTCCAGATCCACTTCGGATGGAAGTGGGTCTGGAATGGGCCTGTTCTAGCTGTCTGCGACTTCGCTCCTGGCGACCCACCTTTCGAAGAGATGAAGCAATTCGAAACAGACCTCGGCGAGAATCAGAGCGATCACCATCCACTCCAATCGGACGTGGTGCCTGTCTGCAGCCCACGATGACAACAGTTCCAGGAGTTCCACGCAGTGGGAGAGACGCTCGTTTAGCACCTGTATGAGAAGATAGACCAGTAGGTAAGTATGGCATCAATCATTATTTTAAGTATTTGTTTTAATACTTCACAAACACAATATTATTTCATTCACAAGTGTCACCTCACCCTAGTTCTCCTGGATATAGTGAAGTATGCGACAGTGGAGGAGTAGAGTCGCTCGAGCTGCTCCTCCTCCCAGTAGAAGTCAGGAGTGTCCAGCAGGTCTGACTCCACGTTCAGCCGATGTCTGAGAGAAAACAGTTCGCCTAGCTTGCGAACCACCTGGGAAAACGAAGAATTTTACCAGTTATTAATTGACTTACTAGCTAACAGCCTCCCTATTTCAATGAAGTGCGAGCGACGCCGAGTAAAGTAGCCAAGAACAAAGACATAGGCTTGTTTTGATCCATTTCATTCCATACTCATTAAGCTGTCTGTAAGGTGTTATCAGGTCTAATAGGTAGATACCTCTTTCTTATCAAGATGCGCAGCTCCGTCATGCTGCATGGCGGCAGTGTGTGAGCTGACGGCGGTGGCCAGCGCCTCGAGCCGGGACTCCCAGGCGCCCAGCCGCGCCGACTGCACCATCGCATGACTGCAAACAATATTACGACACATGTCTTACCACGCTATTCTATCCGACGATATTTCAAGGGCTAATTAAGTTAAGGAGAAAATCGTAGTGTGGGGCAACGTTTTAAATAAAAAAAAAAAAATTACGGACCTCCATATTTAATGGAAACTGGCCAGCAGCGCTGTGTTATAAATGTTAATCGTTTTTTTTAAGGGGAGAAAATCATCGAATGACTGCTCCCGCCTGGGTGAGGCGGGAGGGAGTGTCAGACTCTTACTGACTAAAAACCACCCCGTTCCTCCTGCACTTCGAGCCGGAGCCCCGGTTACCCGTTAGCTTCTCCGCGACATGTTAATCGTTTAAGCTGCGATCTTCAACCGCTAAGTAATGGGCTAACGAAAACCGTCTTTAGTTGTAAAGGAGTAGGAGGCTCATAGTCCACAAATGGACTGTCTATTTTTAACCGACATCCCAAAAAGGTTTCAATTAGTCGGTATGTTTCTTTTCTTTTATTTATGCAATCAGTAGCTTTCACTATCATAATTAAGATTTATAGACGACTGGTACTCACCTGAATGTGTACTTCTCCAACGAGTTATCTCTCTTTGGCACCAGCACAAATGATGACTCTTGTAGATGACACTTTTTCCTACAAAGTTACGAAAACAATCAATGAGTAACTTCCCTATGTACAGATGAAACTGAATAGACATATAACCACATCACACAGTACCTACAGAGGACTATTTCAGTAGCGTATAACATTCTTATTCATAATTATTTTAAATCTTTGCGAACTTGCCATTTTCACAGACAAGTTTAGCCACATTTAACGAACTATGAGACAGGAATATTTAATTGGTGCATATGGAGTATGAAGTACAGGTAAGGGAGCAAAGGTGCAGACACAACAATGTGTAACAAATAGACGAATAGGATACTAGAAAACATAAAAAATAGCTCTGTGTCAAACCTAAAGTTGCCACAAAAACCATGCTGTATCTAGTTATAATCAATTAAATCTTGTCAAGCTGAAAGTTTCCTACTTTGTATACAAGGTGTTGTTTTAAAGACGCGTCATTTTCTAGGAGGTAAGTCGGATATCGATTCTGAGTCCGAATCAATAAAAAAATTGTAGGTAAATATTTTTCATTTTTCCGTAAGTGCGAACTACACGCCGCCGTCTTGTAACTAGCTTTATAACGCGACTTAACACACACAAACTCAAACACGTAATCGATATTATTCCTAATTCCATAAAACTCAAATAAGAAACATTGCTGTCGCTTATTCTGAAATACTGTCGAACTTAAACGATTTACTATAGCCGTATTTTTAACTATTGGCCCGAAATTTTCTCTTACATTGAACCTTTATGACTTCTGTGACATGCCCCCGAGCAATGCCACGGTTTCAAAACTACACCTTGCATAAAAATCCACTACAAACATATTTAAACCAACAACACACCTGCTCCCTTTAGTAATCACAGCTGTTTGAGTTCCAGACTTCTTAGATCGGCTTGCGTGAGAAATATTGCTATTAAGAAATTTTTATGATATACCATGCCACTCATGTACTTATAACTATTAACTCATGTTACATGTATGTAATAATTATAAAAAGTACATGAAAAAATCAAAATTATCTTGAACAAAAGAACAATGTCATTGACTTTTGAAAAAGTCAAAGCACCTATTTCAATTAAACCCTAATTCTATTCATTTGAAACGTCAACAAATAACATATAACATAAATAACATCACGCCTTTTTATTCCCGAAGGGGTAGGTGGAGGTGCACGTGCACATTACGGCACTTAATGCCACTGTAGAATGTAACACCCACTTTTCACTATTTATGTTATGAGTCCCATGTATAGAGGGTGAGCCTATTGCAATATACCGGGCACAATTCCAAACTCCCTGCAAAGACTGAGATTTTTTTAAAAAAAACCTCAGTAGTACTTTGCCCGACCCGGGAACCGAACCCGAGACCCCATACCCGGCAATCACACTTGCGACCGCTTGGCCGCAATCAACAAATATAAAATAAATAATAGTCTATAACATGCTCCAGAAAAATGCTGGTTGCAGTTCTTCCTGATAATCTAATATTATTTAATATTTTAGTAATCACTCAAATTGTAATAGATATCAAGAGACAAGATCAGAAATTCGAATTAGTCAAGCTTTTTCAAATACCTGTCTTAAAGCCATTGTAATAAATGCAGAAAAGTGTTGTTACTGACTAAGATTACAACACATTAGTTATATTTAAAAGATATATACTCACACATTAGGATGATAAACGTAAGTCATGACCTCTCTTTCTTTCTCCACCACATCTCGCGGATAACTGTCTATTTCAAAACTGAAATAAAAGAAATATGTCAATTTAACTATCTTATTAGAATGTGATAGCTGTATTTCATAAACAGTATTTTTACTATCAAACTCACATGGAATTTTAATGAAATCAATCAGTAATGTAAGAAAACTGAATCATCAGTATGAAAACAGTACATATGGAGATAATAAGTGGGATAGTTAACTAAAGCTATTTTTTTCGAATTTTTCATTTTCTTACTTCCAAGTATTAAATTCTTATCAAACATCATTAACTCGTCGAGTACCGGTTTTGTAGACACAATTATAGAACAATAGGTTGCGGTCACCGGTGACCGCTTGGTGTTTGACAGTTTAAACCCAAGTCCTCTAATTACACTGTATATGTGACAATTAACAATAAACTGTGTGCATGTCTACTTACGGCCTCACAAATTCCAGTACATTGCGAGCTTCCAACTCTGTGCAGTTCCAGAACACAATACCACCTTCTCTAAAGAATATGATCTCTCTGGGCTCAGTACCCACACTGTACACTGCATTAGCCACCACTACATCTCCCAACTCATCTGATTTCAGCCTGAAACATTTGTAATGATAAAAGTATGAGTTATACTGTGAAACCGTTTAAAGAGTTTTATCAAGCATTTTGTGCATAATTATAGATTGTTGTAACAACATGTTTATTATTTTTACATATTGTAATAAGATCTTCATTATGTTTCCTCTTATCTCACCATGCTCGCTTTATCTCATGTTACATCATCTTTTTAATATTTTAAAATGTGGGTAAGTTATGAAACTACTTACGTTCCTGGTTCATACAGCTTCTGTTGGATCAGGGCTTCTTTTAAATTTTTCAAATCATACGCATTAGCTGTAGCGTAAGCCATAGTGAGGTAATGGCCCTCTTTGTGAGTCAACTCTTCAGGATTAGCCTTCTTATGAACAATCTTCTTTTTAATCGGTAATGTGCCATTTTCTATCGGTAGCGTCGGCTGTATCGCATCATTCGAATAATTCCTCACAATCCCAACCCCAGCAACGCTAAATAAATCATATTTTGGCAAAAACAAACGAGTTTTCGGACTTATAAAACCGACTACCGTCTTTGTAAAAAAACATTTCGGTGTCGCGCACCGAATGGTGTTAAACGCAATTCTTGATAAATACACAGTCATAACTGAGTGATAGGGTAGAAAATTAAATGAATATGTAAATGAATGCTGTTATAAATGCCTTTTCGTAATTATTACATAAAGTTTTAGGTTATGCTTAGATTTACTGTTTTGACATTTTATAGTTTTAATTCGATTTTTCTATGACATTTCACACTATGGTTTAAATACGAGTATTTTTGCAAACGCTCCGTCAAATATCATTGGATTTCATATGATCCATTTTTATTTGCGAAAATGATCTTGATGTATTGAAACCTGTTTTTCTTGTGTTAATTTTACGAATTATTAGTTTAATGTGTACTTAACTACAATCAATGGTTCAAATTGTTGCGTTTATTCAAGACGCAGTAGTAATAGCAGTGACAGCAGTAGTTCGTTATATTCTCTTTTTCTCTTCCTAATAGCACTATCTGTACAGTAAAAAATGAAACAAGTTTACATAAAAAATAATTTATTTCAGTCATCAGCTTGTTCTCCTACAATAACGTCTCCCGACCGTGCAGTGAACAGAGTATGCAATTTGATCGCAAACTCTCGCCCGATCTTCCGTTGCTTAGCCCCGGCCACGCCTGAACGAGACACGCCTAAACTTGCTAAATGTTCTAAGGAATCTGGTTCTTGTAAGCTCTGAAAATAAAAATAAATTGTTAGGTTGAAAATAAATATGTTTCCGGTGTTTCGCTTTCGCTGTGTAAACTGTATACCTATTATTAATTATTAAGATTTAAACGGCTGTTTAAATCTGTACACGACCTGAGTATCGAACGAACTCTAATCCGTGTGTGCGACCTGTCTACTGACAAAACAATGATTAAGAAATAAAAAATAAACATGTATTTACCTCATACATGGCGAGCGGTGACTTGTATTGAGCGCAGACTGCCCGAGAGATGTCGAGGCTAGATTGCGGTAATACGGCCAACATCTGCTGCCATAGCTGAGAGACACCGGCTCCTGAAAATGTCACCTAAAAAATTTAAAATTTGTATCACGCCTTATATCCCCGACGGAGTGGACAGAGGTGCACATTACGGCGCTTAATGCGACCATACAATGTAACACCCACTTTTCAATATTCATGTTTATGAGTTCTATGGAATAGGGGGTGAGCCTATTGCCATTTACCAGGCACAATTCCTGACTCCGTCCTACTACTGATAATTAAAAAAAACAGTAATACTGTGCCTGTCCCGGAAATCGAACCTGAGACCCTTTGCCCGGCACAGTCGCACTTGCGACCACTCGACTAACGACACCAGTCATTTAGATTTTAGTATGTTTTAAAACTGTGACCAGTCACCAAGTGTGAAGTGTTACTAGTGTTGCTATAAGCGAAAAATTCACTCACCATTATTTGTAATAGCAACACAATTCTTGTTAACGCCTCTCATGTAGAAACTGGACAATTCATCTATTTCCCGTTTCGCTTTTCTGAAACGTAAATAAATAAAAATTAAATTAACTTGTATCCAAACACAAGCTGGAGATACTTCAGGTTCGAATTCTGCTTGTGTCTTTTTTTAGCAGATGGATCACCTGATGGTAAGCAATCGACACCGCCTATTGTCACCAGCAACACCAGACGAGTTAGAAGAGCTACCGTTGGCGGCCTTTTAAGTCTTTTTAGATTTAAACCTTTTTAGATTTAAGCCTTTTTGGATTTAGGTCTTTTAGGATATAAGCCTTTTAGGATTTAAGCCTTTTTCGATTTGGACCTTTTTTTCATTTACATTAATACCAACTGTTGACTTACTTAGCGGGGGCATCAGCGATGGCTTTAGTGAACCGCACTATGGTCTCCGCCATCTCCTGCGCGGTCTCTACTGCCACCACATCGCAATCCGCCGTCACCATCACATCTGGAAATCACCAACAATAATTTATTAACGACTATAAAAGACATTAGACTTCAGAGGTTAATAAATCGACACTTACTATCGCGATTTCGATTCTCGCGTCTATCAAAAATGTGCTAATGGATTTCTCATATTAAAATGATTATTGTTTGCCAGAGCGAAATTCATATTATTTTTTAAAACCGACTTTAAAAAGGAGAAGATGTATAATCACTACATAGTATAAAACAACGTCTATCCGCCCTGTCTGTCCCTATGAATGCTGCGATCTTTAAAACTACGCAACGGATTTTTAATAGATAGAAGGTTTATATGTATAATACATGCATATTACACACGTGCGAAGCCGGGGCGGGTCGCTAGTAAATTAATAAATTGGTCTACCTGTTAAGGCCAGTTCGAAATCAATATTATTCATCTCCTTGCGTCCATTTTTCGACCTGCAGACAAATGTATAAGTTTACTAGTAGGTATTTAACTTTCTAATGAAATATATCAAAAGCATTTTGTTTTCTATTTAAAAAGGTTTAATACTAACTTGAAATATCCTTCTACTTGTACGACGACCAAAGTGAGGTTGCATTGCAGTTGTTCCTTGAACTCAGTCATGGTCCTCGCGAGAGCATTGTCCTGCACCAGCCGCGTCACACGATCTACTTCCATTATGCATAGAGCATGGTCACACTTTTCCTCGTTCGGCTTTTTTAACTGAAACATTTGATTAACTTAATTAACTAAGAATTGCGGGTTACTCTCGTGAAAATACTGAGAAAAGCTCTACTAGTTTCGAATCACAGAGGGGTTCTTCGTCATGAATTTTGTCACATTAATTTTGTCCTTATGATACCAGTATTTAGCTATCATTTTTATTTTAAATGTAATTTGATTTAAGGATTGTAATTTTTAACTTTCTTTACTACTTGTCTTATTAGTTTTAAGCTTTAATTCACAATGTAAATTGAACTAAATTGTTTTTGAAATAAATAAATAAAATGAGCAGCGTGCGTGGTCGCATTCGTCTGTCGTGGTCGTGTCCGGTAGAGAGTACGGTGGTCTCGCAACGCAAGACATATATTATATAACAATATTATTAAAAAAATACATGTTATACTGTCAAACACCGCGTGGACACCGATGACCGCAACCTATTGTTCTGTAATTGTGTCTATAATGACTGTACTCAACAAGTTAAATGCATCAAACAAAATTAAATGTTTTAGTTGTTACTAAGTTACCTTCTCAAAGTATCTATCCAGTGTCAGAGGCAGTCTCCTACTCCAGGTAATGATGTCCTGATTAGACTGCTGTCTCTGAATGTGGGCTCCAGTCGCAGTAACTTCATGTTCGACACTTGTCATGTACCATTTATGTAATAAATTGTCGTTGATTACCACATTGATGTACTGTGAAAAAAATTATAAGAACAATTTCCTATCTGAACATATAGACAAGTAGAACAGATCCAAGAGAAAACCAAACATTGAAAAGGAAACATATTTCTAGGAACAGCAAGTTCGTGTAAATTTTTGTCATGGGGGCAATAAAGCTTACCAACCAAGTCTTTTATAGTGTTATCTACCTTCTTTTATTCTCTCTAGTTCTCAATATGTGCATAAACACTGGAGTCCACTCCGTATATGGTAATAAGCTCACCCCATATTAGACAGGACTCATAACATAACTAATAAAAAGTGATTATAACATTTTTTTTATACATTTAATGGGTTTGATTGCTGTCTCGCCTGATGGTAAGCGATAATGCAGTCTACGATGGAGCATGTCGTCCTATAAGCAACCTATTCACTCGAGCCTTGAAGACACCCAGGTTATCTTTACTTCTTTTATTCTGTTTGCTTATTACCTGTATACATTCTCCAGGTTTGTAAATCTTATTCATCTCAATGCGGGCCTCCTTCTCACTCTTTTCTTCCTGCAGTTTTCTCTTCTTGGCTTCTTTTTCTAACGCTTTAATCTTCTTCTTCTCTTGTTGGGTTAAAGATTTACTGCTACTACCTACTGATAAATAATATTATTATTCAAAATTTCTTTTAATGGCCAAAGAGGACTCCAAAAGAATTATGTTTAAATTATATAATATAGATAACAATTATACCTATATCAATTCTTTTAAAAAAAATATATTCGATGGGCCGACGTTTGACTATCTCGCCTGGCGCTAAGCAATGATGCGGTCTACGATAGTATTGTTCATTCTATAATTATGTGGTGAGTAGGTCATCTTAAGTGTGTCGAAAGATGTCTATTAAATTATACTTACTATCTAATAAATGGTCCCTAGATATCACACTTTCTTTCGCCTCTTCGGGTATAATGTCTAAATCACCCAACACATTCTGTTTTTGTTTCCTTGCAGAAGGCGTTACGTCTTCGTCCTCTGAAGAACTTAAAGTAACCACTAAACCAGACATTTTAGTTTCTAAGATATTTCTAAATATGATTTACATTCTTTAAAAATCTTTATTTACTTCATTTGTTGTTGATTTTGTGTACAAAACAAACAAAACTGTTACCGGCTGATCTGAAAGTCAACTTCAAATCTGACATTTTGTTCATTTAACTGACAGCTGACAATATGAATAATAAGACATTCCAAATTCGGATATGTGGTCTGACATTTTAATAACTTTAATAACAACTATTACATGAATAAAATTAAAACTAAATATTACTAAATTAAATATATACAACTTATGATTAAAATTAATTATAGGAACTCGTGACCAGAGGGCTGGTCTTTTTCTCGGTCAGAGGTTAAGCATTGCCATACAACGTGGCAATGCTGCCAGCCTTCTGGGTACTTTCCCCACTGACGTCGATGCGGACGAGTTTTTCGATGCCTTATAAATAGTTTATTTTTCCTATAATTAATTTTAATCATAAGTTGTTTGACATTGTTTTGTGATTGCGGAGTATCTGAATTGTTCATTAATATTCGCTCATTTAACGATTGTTAAATTAACTAGATCTAGTTATTTATTTTTAATCACTTTCTTATCTACTCAGATTTTTTTCTATGTGCAGCGATAGTCTGAAGCAAGTATGACATTTGGATATAGTGTAGCAGCTACATTTATTTAGCCTAGCCATCCTACCTATTACGTTAAAATAAACGTCTAGATGCACAACGCTTTACGGATTCAGTTCCCGTAGGAATGGAACGAAAAGCACGTTATCATACATTTTTATGTATGACTAGCTTTTACCCGCGGCTTTGCTCGCGTCACAAAAGAATAAAATGTAGCTTAGGTGCCATATACCAATACATACAGCGCCATCTATACCAATACTTTTGTTTTCCCTCAGGAATAGCAAATTTTTACGGGATAAAAAGTACTCTATTATTTAATCCAGACTTCTAACTTTACGTCTGCAAAAATTCAAAGCAATCGGTTTAATAGTTACGGCGTGAAAGCGGAACAAATAAACAAACAAAACTCACTTTCAGATTTATAATATTAGTAAGGATAACGTGCTTTTCGAAACTTGGACCTACAGTGGTATGACATGACATGACTTACCTTGTTTAATTTTATTCAACTAAATATTTACCTACTTTTTACATGAGGGACTTTTAGTAATATTTATTATGATAAATTACTTAAAGTGTGTGCTGTAGCTTAGGTTGATACTCAATAGATTAAGAAAACACCATAAAAGACGTTAAAAGCTCCCTAACCCCAATAAATAGCCCATTTGCGCCTCGCCTATACTTTATCGATGGGGCTATAAAAACGAAAAGCGCGGGAAAGTGCTTACTTGCACAGATAAAATGGCTGATTTGACAGGTGGACAAAAGCCAGACAGCCACTATACGCCTATTGATTTCCCATAAAACAGTCGTATAAATCATGTTACAAACTTTTCAGCAACTTTTCCGCTACAGCGCTGTATTACGTTAAACGCACTGATTAATTTTATATGAATCGCTTAATACAATCTTAAAATATTTAGACATTTGAACATAAAAACGAATTGGTTATGTAAATCAAACATGTTTGTTTTAAAATAAAAATAAAAAAAGTTTAAAAAAGCTACCTAACTATCAGCTAGATGGCTATTTCTAATTTATTTTTGACCTTGTTTACCTAGATGAGTTTTACTTATTGTTGCCTAAGTACATAAAATTTGGTCACCTTCGTGCAGCCTAAAATCCAGACAAATGATCCCTAACCTATCTATTAAAAAAGACTAATACCTACTTTTACTTTTTGTAGCGCCGCAGCGCTTTTGTTATCACAAAACGACGATATTGCACATGCGTGCCAGTGCCAGCAAACTTTTTGTTTCTTTATTTGTCACATCAGATATAAGATCTTGATTAAAACAACAAAAGTTAAAATATTATACTAAAATAAAACATGCTTAAGTAAGTTTGTACCTACTTATTTATTTTATTTATTTGAAAAGCTTTATGCACACAAACAAGCACATGGGTGGACTTAATGCCGCAGGCATTTTCTACCAGTCTGACCCCTGGGTGATGCAGAGAAAGTAATCAGCGGGTGCAAAAACATGCGTTGAATTTAACTAAGTATTTGAATATTCGAATATTAACTCGTCGAGGACCGTCATTATAGACACAATTATAAAACAATAGGTTGCGGTCACCGGTGACCGCTTGGTGTTGGACAGTTTAATACTTATGTAGTTTACATGCATACAATTTTGTAAGTAGATATTTGAGCAATTAATTTTTTAATGCAAAGAACGTATATTTTTACACTATTTATAGGTACCTGTACTGAAATTATCAACATATGCATCTCGGATCTTTTTTTTTTTTATAAAACGTTGCCACACACTAGGATTTTCTCCTGTGTCGTGGCCTCGTGGGTGCGTTTACAAACGTACAAGTTCATATACACATGACATCTCATAAGTAGAAATGGATTGCAAAATAAGAAACAACTACTTCTTCGCAAACAGCTACTTGAACCAAATCCAACTTTTTTTTTAAAACCCGAGGAAATTTATCACGAAATAATTATTACGAAAAAGAGAGAGAAAAAGGAAATCAACAATCTGATCGTTCGACCCCAATTCCCTATTTCATATCAACATGTAATTTCAAATCTCTACCCTTAGAGGAGTACAAAAGCGTAAAGTTACCTTTGTTTAGTACCTCCAAAAGCTCCATACTTAGAAAATATAAACTCATGTTAACAAATAGGTACAATCATTAAAAGAAAAACGAAAATAAACACCAGACAGACGACAGGCGACGGGCAAAAGTTCGGACGTTACAATCAAAGTTCGCGTCGTCCTGTCCGCGCCGTCGCAATAGAAACAAAACACTTAGCTATATTAGACGACTCTCTTGTTTTCTTTTCGTTTGTTTTCAACACTGGAAGTAATGTTTTGTATTGTATTGTGTCGAATAACTGGTTGAAATTATTTGCAGTTAGAACTTTTGAGTACGATCTTAGGAAAGCAAACTTCATTCAACATTCAAATTGTATCCTTGATCGCGCAACCAGACAAACTGCTTTCCACGTCACGGTGCAATGGGTTTTTAGAGTCTGTGTATCCTGAAGAGTATTTCCTGAGTGACTTCAGGGCCCGAGTGAATGTTACTTGTGCGTTGTCCCTCATATCACTAGGTTTTTTTATGGCATAAGCCGGTAAACGACCAGACGGATCACCTGATGGTAAGCAATCGGCGTCGCCTATGGACACCTGGAATACCAGCTAGGCGTTACAAGTGCGTTACCGGCTTTTTGGGGATTAGGAGTTTGAGGATCGTTGGGGATTCAGGTATTGTGGAGATTGGAGAAAGGGAGGGTAATTGGGCCTCTGGTAACCTCACTCACACGTCGAAACACAACGCAAGCGTTGCTTCACGTCGGTTTTCTGTGAGGTCGTGGTATCACTCCGGTCGAGCCGGCCCATTCGTGCCGAAGCATGGCTCTCCCAAACTTAAAGGTGAGATAGAAGCCTTTAACTCGTCGAGTACCGGTTTTGTAGACACAATTATAGAACAATAGGTTGCGGTCACCGGTGACCGCTTGGTGTTTGACAGTTTAAGAGGGTAAAATCTTCGAATGACTGCTCCCGCCTCGGTGAGGCGTAAAAGAGTGTCAGACTCTTACTGATCACCACATTTCTACTCCTGCACTTGGAGCCGGAACCCCGGTAACCCGTTAGGTTCTCCGCGACGAGATAGTAGCCTTCCGCAAACACATCTCGATTACTAAAAAACGAGTATTAGGTAAGTCTAAGTAATCAGCTTATAGTAATTCTTCTTCTTCTTATATCATCCTCTTCCTTTCCATTCACATTTGAATTCAGCACTCGACATTAGATAATACTTATTAGGTAGGTACCTAAGTTTGTTTTTACAATCAACTAGTTTCACGTTCATCCACAACGGTTTGCGCTACATTGCATAATTCATTAATTCCATTAGTGACTACCTAACTGATTTAATGAGATCCGGAATATTTGCAACCAACAACGGACGATACATAGCTGTATTTGGAATTTGGCTTGAACTGCCCGGAGCTGGGAACGCGACCGGAATTTGGTCCGGTGAGGTCTGTCCATTTAGTTGAACCTAACTAATTGTATAGGCTACAATGATCGTATCATGGTTCAACTAATATAATGGTGATTCCTCAATTTATCAACCAAAATTTTGAATTTTGCAGAGTATCTACCCAGTTTTCGAACACTTCGGTAATCATCTACCTAATTCTGACCATGAAAGAGTGCACGGAACAAAAAGTTCATGATATATATTATGACAATGTCCGGTAAGAATGAGAAGAAAAGTAATTCCAAGACTTTAGGCACTAAGGCATTGTATTACCGATTCACCAACATATGTGTACCTACTACCTAAAACTCGTTTGTACTTGTCAAATGTCAATATCAAACGGCTATTTAAGAAGGATTGCATCATCAATGACATATAATGCATTCGTCATTATGTGTACTGACATTTGTTGATAGTCTCGACAAAAAAAACTTGACCAATACGAGCTAAGAATATATTGAGAAAATATTCAATTTAATGTTTCTTTGTATTTTTTACTATTGCCATTTTACGAAAAAATTGACCTTTAATAATAAAACACAGCTTTGATTCTCTATTTGGTAACCTAACAATTAGAATTGCTTCAATGTTGAAGTCCTAAAAGTGCTGTTTAATGGAAAGTGGATTAGCTAGCTACACGAAATCCTACCTTTAATTAACTAAATACCTTCCTTTATTGATTAACACTGACTAATGACTAGATAATGCTGGTTCAGAGAGAGTAGAATTAAGTAAATTGCCACATCCTTTTCCAAAAAGCAACAACGTAGGTAAATAGGTACTTGCATAAAAATGTCTGACAAAATCTAACAACAAACACAATACAAACATTCAAGTTAACATTTGTTCAGCTTCCAGCGCTTTTGTTGCATTAATTAAAGTTTAATTCAATGAGGAATCTCAATTGGCCATTTCAACAAACAACAACAATGGGTAGGCAGGCAATGCGAAAGTCAGTGCACGTTTGAGTTGGTACTACAACAGCAGCGGTTAGAAACTGTAAAAGAATAAAGAAATAATAAACGCACGCACAGACAGGCTAACTAATCAGGACACAAACCAAAATATCCAGTTAATTCCAGTTCCCAAAATGTCACCAACCTAAAGTTCAATAATTAGGCAAAATACCCACCGTATCACTAAAACCCATTTTAAATGCAAACAAATCAGGCGACAACTGCGCGTAGGTATTTACCTTCAAACAAAACAAATATGAACGAAGCTTTTTTTGATCTCTCGTGTCTGTTTGTTCAAAAATGTTTGCTCTATGTCTGCACAGAGGGCTACGCGTTCCCTCCTCTCCAGTCTGGCTTTGTTTACGGGGGCGAGCGGGCGTTGCACCTCGCGACCCGCCAACGCGCACGCGTGACTAATTTAAAAATAAAACTTATATTCGCTGCTGTACATCCTGTGCTCCTTGACTAATTCGTCTCGAAACTTACTCCAAATAACTTACATCTATCACAGTTTAATTCTAAACTTACTTTTTGGCGAAACGAAAAAGTTTTGGTTCGCATTCCTTTCCAAGTGTGCTAACTTGTGCTGATTATTTTTTCATGTCTTCATAAAAAAAGAAAAAGAAGTTTTTAACACGATGCAACAAACTCTGCCCACTGTGTAAATATTTGAAAACCGAACATACTTAGATAAATAAACAAACCATTTTAGTGCACACGTGTACCTACAAGTTATGGATGTGTATCCGAATAACTAAATCATAAAAAAGTAAAAATGGATTGGCGCGAAAAACTGTTTGGGAAGGTGCTAGTCAAGTGTGAATCGGGAACTCAGAATGGTAAATTCGAGAATGTATCAACATTAGAAGCTTTGTCTGACTGTGTGGAGGAGGGTGAGGGAGCCGTGTGCGGAATTTACTTTTCTTTCGCGAATATCAGTGATACAAGTGACGATTTCGGAGTGCGTTTGGAGGAGGTCTACAAACGTGTGCATCCTCGATTGAAGGTCGTGCAGGTGGTGTTGTGGGCTCATGTTGGCACCCCTGAGGGTCTTGCGGAACGGGAGGCGGGATTCCGTCGTAGTTTGACCGGCAAGTCGTGGTTTGCTGTGCCCTTCCATGATGTCGATACAAAGGTAAAATACTTGTTAATAAACAAGATATTAGATGCCAGTTTAACGCATTTTTTTTTAGTATTTTCAGATACGAAGGTAGCATCATTACTAACTATTTTTCGACATTAAATTGCCCAAAGCGTAGGTACTGGGTGTGATTCAAGCTGCAAGACTTAATTATACACAATATAGGTACCTACACATTCCCCAAAACAACTGCCTAAACTGTTAAAAAAATAGATATCTAATAAATGATAACAAAGATGCGTTAAAGTCTGCTAACCAATTTTATCTATTTGTAGATATTTTACTGCTAACCAAAAACATTTTGGAACTGTAAAGTCTAGAATATGACACAAAGTAACTACTCGAGTGAAAAATATGGTTCCCTGAATGACCGTAAGTCTTAACCCGCACTCGTTTTGGCTCCGACCAATTTTGGCCACACTCCAAAGTACCGAGAGATCTCATAAAGGAATAGTTCAACTTGCAACACTGCAGTTGACCACTGGCAGGTTTTTTGTTTTTATTTGGCTAATACATACCAACAATAACCATCGAATTTCACAGTTTAAGAAAAGAAATAACCTTTTTTTACGGTCGGAATCGCATTTGTAACTCGTCTTGTGCATGTCATGGACGGTGCGCAATGTGATTCCCATGAAATACCTGTTATATTCAAAACCTAATATATTTATAGTCTGCATAACAAAGGATTGAAATACATTAGGTGGATTACAAATAAAAGAAATTTTGAAGAAATTCATTGCCTAATTTACACTCAGACGTTCCATCAAAGATACAATCTATTGATACTATCATCGTATTAGTTTCAGTCGAATCTGTACTACTGTAACTAATACGATGTTGAAGTAATGATCGATAATAGTAATCACGTTATTCACATAGAACATTAAACAAAAACATTGAAGCGTCTCAATTTTCATAGACATTTACCAGTTTACAAGTTGCCTCTAATAACCTCTTTAATCTTCGACTGCTGAAAAAACAAACATGCATGCAAACGAATTAAACAAATCGTAATGAGAAAGCAAAATAACTGGAGCACTTATAACATCAAACGTTTATAACTCCTCGGTGAAATACTTGAAGATTTTGCATTTTATTAAATGTTTGGATACTCTGTCTAAAGTTCGCGTCGTCACAGGGATGATGGATCAGAAATTACTTACAATTAAGTAAGAATTACTTTGGGACTTAAATTGGTTTTCGGTGTTCAGAAACAGTTTGTGTAGGTACGGAAAATCGTTAGCTTTGTTTTGGTAATTACTTATAAAAGTTAAAGATGAACATAATTTTCTTGAAAAGACATTCCTAAGACGTCAGTTTTAGCATTTTTCTAGGAATTAAAATTTCTAAAAAGCAAATAGTGATATTTTGTGTATGCCATAACAGTTTTTTTTAGAATTTCCACATGCTTATCGAGACAAACTTAATAATTATAAGGTCAGTCTTTTATACTTTGTAGGTAGGTACTAGTATATGATAAAAGGCTGACCGGCACATACACGCACAAGCCACGTAGCAACACTCGATAACAATGGACATAATCGCAATAACATTTGAGTGCATCAAACCGTGCACTTTGTCGGTAATATCAAACATGCTCATACATTCTGCTGCGGCTACTGGCACGCGACCTGCATCATTATCACTGGTTAATGTGGTATTTATAGACTTCGTTCCTTTTGATATTATGATGTGGATATGGAGAATAAATTATGTATTTATTATTATTGGTAAAATATAAGTTTTTACGCGGCACAACGAATGAACTTCTAAGGTATTTGTTTTGTAAATGGGTCTTTATGAAAGCATTTTAGCTCTTCAGTTCTTTGGTCCTAAAACAACTACAGAATTATCCCTATTTGCTGGTTAAAAACTATTTACTATGCTTTTTTATGCTTTACTAGAGTACAGGGCAGACAGTAAACGCTGCCCAATAAAATCTACTTAACGATCCCAACATCGCTTCCAAAATGGCCGTGAAAAGAAAGATGACTCTAATAAATTCGCTGAAACGATAATTCATTCTGCGTTCATATTCAAAGGTTACCTTTTCGACTCTCAGTTCTCAGTTACATTAGCGGATTAGTTTAACCAATATTGTAGGTTTTAGGTAAAGAAATGTCATTAATCAATGTTCGGAGTAAATGGTCCGCCAGCTGGGCAGTCCCACGGATATTGTCAGTCATCAGAAACGAGTGAGGTCGCCAGTCGAACCAGTAATGGATTGAACTGCTCATTATGTGGTACACAGCGGGATATTTTGCTCTGATTACATTCTGATGTGAAATACTGTAATAATTATTGACTGCCTTCGAGTCCAGAAAACCTTTTTGGAAGTTATTTAAGGTCATTTAGATTTTGGCAAGAAAAAATGCATTTAAATCAAGAAGTAGCGCATAAAGTTTAAAAACACACACACTAAGCTAAAGAAACAAATCAAGCTTAACACCGAAACTAAATAGAATATTCCAATGCACCCCCGCACGTAAACAAGAATGCAAAATCCTGTCAACAGCTACCAGGCGTCCATAACATCCAAGGCATGAATATCAAACCCCCACATCTACATAACTACTGCCTTATAGCCTTAGCAAGTTCCTAGGTTCATTGAAACGGGGGCCGCTAGTAATTACGGGTAAAAGCGGAGGGTTGCGTCAATGCCATGTATCACCCTAAATTACTCTCCACCCCACACTTTCGCTGAGAGGGGCTTTTTTACATGTACACAGGTGCGTTTTGATACATTAACGTCACTGTTTACATTAAACTAACCCCTACCTGTATCGAAATAAAGGCGCTTTTCAAAACAATATCCTTCTTACCTTAACAAGATTATGTTGAAAAACTCGTAAAAGTTTTACGCAAACCTTCACTTGAATGTAATTTCGTTGTGAGACCCGTGACACGGAGCTCCTTTGTTATTTCTTGACAGTTTCCATTATGGAAATTAAAAGCCCTTTTCTAGCTAGAGCAAGCAATTTTACTAATGCTAATAATTGTATTACGTTGGATCGGATTTTCCGGGCCTTTAAGCAAACTATTTTCTTTATGTACTCAGCTGACTACATTATTCACAAGCACTTACATTTCCACCGACATTTCCTGTGCTACGAATTTGGCGCGGAAGAAAATCTTGAGCAGTTCTTTTAATAGTCTCTCGAATAGTTCCCCAGTCCTCAATTTGGATCCTTGCGTAATAAAAGCTCATGTATTTAGATCTAAAGATTTCGCTCGTGCATCCCACGGCCCCCATTTGCTCGCAAGCTGCTATTAAGAAAGGAATTTCTCGAGATCCACTCATGAAAGAGGGTGCAAATGATACTGACCCAGCAGTTGAGCCTTTCATCGGACGACACAAATGATAAGAGGATAAAAGATGGCAGGGAATAAAAACTGATGAAAGCCGCGACTCGGGACGTAAAATGAGATATTACTACGGGTATTTGGAATGAGAAATTGCACGTAGTATTAAATGTTTTGTTACAAATAACTACTATGTAGGTATTTTAAGACCGATAATTGGAGAACCACAATAAGTGACTATTTCTATCCGGTAAAAGTACGAGTTTATAAAAACCAGAACGAAAGGTTGAAATGCAAACCCTATTGTAATTTGCAACAGTTTTCAACACACACACTAAGGAGTAAATTACTAGAAACCAGTTTATGAACTCACACTTTCGCACAGACGATTAAAGTATGAAGGGGTCGCTGATCGAACATGTGTTCTTGATAGCACTTACATGCAGTCTTTATTTGGTTCAGCGACGCTAATGTCTTTTTAAGGCTTCAACTGTAATACAAAAGTCGGTATTCGATTTTTTAATTTGTTGTTTTGTAATAAAGTTTAAAATCTATTAAAAACATATAAACAGATTCGGAAATTGTAGGTAATACAGTCTAAGATGTGTATACTGTTTGTGATCACACTGCTTATTTCATCATTTTTAGCCCCTATTAACTATGGTTTTAATTGATTTTTAGCTCAACAAAGCCAAAAGACTTGTAATTACGGTTTAAAAGGTCCATAGTCTATTATATTAAATAGGTTAAGGAAAATTCTTTATGGGAAATTAATTACCAAAATGATGTTCCTTTATTAAAAGCCGATCTTAACGATATAACGATAACCCGAGTCAAAGGTACCTAATTTCGAAACTCATTTGTATTTAACAAATAATTAAATAATAATTAATTTAATTTTCGGCTTACTCACGTAACTATTTAACGAGGAACTCGACTAGTTTCAAGCCATGCTAGAGGCTCATATTCATACGCAGCATTCCTACATTTGTACCTGCCGTACTAAAGTTTCTTTTACTACAGCTTCGTCGATCTCTTACATCTTACTTCGGTAACTTAATATCCAACCTCTATACATAATAGATCAATTAATTAATCAATCAAACATGCCTCACATGCATATGCGTCCGAATATATCCAATAAACCACATTGTTCAATACATTGCATTGTTGAATTTTGTTCGAAAAATGTGATACTGCAAACGATATGAATCTCTCGAAATATCAACAAGCTCTATAGTGCCATTTAAATAAAAACTGCAAACCAATCCAATGTATCCAGTTACAAACTTATTGACTGCATAATAAAATAGCAACCACTACCAAAGTATTACACAAAAACGTGGAAAATATAAAAGGCTTTTAGTAAAATAATAAAGTGCTCTGCTTTTTACTTAATGCTTTATTAATTTATGTACATTACTGTGTTTGCTGCAGTTCATTTTAAGTTTATTGATTGCCTTGTCGCAAACGCAATTCACAATTTATAACTTCTCTGGTAATGCGGATGTCCATAAGTGGCATTGATTGCTCATCATCAGAAAATGTCTATCTTCTTCTTTCTTTTTTCTAAAAGTCTCAGTTTTAATTCCAGGGTCAAGCAAAATATAAAAGTACAAAGTCTAGTCTAGAATACCTAATGGCGTGCATGGCATTAATGCTACAAAAAATACACCAATTGAAATGGA